CCCCATAACAGCGAACCCAAGTTTTCCGTTTAACACACACCCCTGTCCTTGGATGCCACCAACCGACTTCATAAAATCAACGCTCCCAAATCTTCCTATTTTGCAACACAGTATCCTCCAGGTTCACCCCTGCATCTGACTCGATCAAGACTTTATCATCTCCCATCGTGGTCAGGACAATATCTGAGAAGCCCGCCTGTAACACCTTCTTCCTAACCCTAGTCAAATCTTGTCCGCGATTGAGGCAACCAACAAGAGTTTGACAACACTCCTCAAGAAACGACTCCTCCACTGCATAGTGTAAAGGACATCAGGGTTGTTCTGGCCGTTTTCCCTCAACTCTAATCGTCATTGGCTTTTCCTCCTCCAACTAAACCTGAGGGCCTCGTAGAGCATCTGCGTATGAAGAACCACCCACACCTGATTGCCTAACTACTCCCTCCCTGATGCTATGTAGTTTCACCGCAGCCACAGACCCCCTAGCGTAACGGCTCAAATGCACCTTCAGTCATTTCGTACCAATCACAATTGATCCCAATCTCTGTTCCATCGTCTTAGCATTACAAACATCTGCAAAGCGGACAAACCCAAACCTCCTCCCTACTTTATCAAGTTTCTTGGGTAAAAATACATCCACCACCTTACCCAACTGCCGAAAAATTTTTCATAGAGTACTGATCTCAAGTGGCTCCGGAATATTCGTGAAAAATATATGATGTTGAGGAGCTTAAGACACGCCCTAAATGCCCCCCAAACCCCTTGTTTTGACTCCCATTACGTAACTCCCTTGACTGCCCTCCACCGCTACCTCTCTCCCAAACTCTACCATGGGCATTACTATCCCCTACTCTCATACTGCCTTTTTTCCTTATCATCTATCTAATCCCCTTAAGGTTCAAATTAACTACCAAATATTCCAATTATCTCTTAATCTTCCAACTTTCAAACCTCCACTTGACTAAAACGAGAATTTACCCTGTTTCAATTATCGAATGCTGGAGAGTGGAGACAATAACTTTACCTTTCTATTCTTGTAAACCCCATAAGCATTCTCCACTTTCATCAGCTTCTCCGCAGTCTACCAGGACCTTCCAGATGGCCCCTACCAAGCAAAAAATCCACAAGTCTACCGGCGGCAAGGTTCCTCTGAAGCAACTGGCGACAAAGGCTGCTCGTGAAGAGATATGGAAGTTAGATATCAGTTCTTCTACATTTTTGCATTTTCATGGTATTCAAAGACCTATTCCCTTTAATATATAAGCTTTTAAAAAATAAACATTGAAAAAATATTATAATAAAGTTATCATGGTGTATTCAATATTATATAATGTATTTCACTTAGTTTGATAAGATAAAATAATTTATTTATTTTATTGAAATCAATCAAAACATTTGTCAGATGTGAATTATATATATAACACAAATTATCTTCTCATTTTTTTTAATGTTTATCCTAAAAAATATTTTAAAAATAAAGTGAAATAACAAAATAAAATTAGAATAATTATTTTGATTTTGGGTTATAAATTATGAGATGTATAATTATTAAAATAGGTAAAATAATTTGATTGTATATTTAAAATTTTATTTATGTTTGAATTAAACTAAGTTTATTTATAATTATCAATTAAAAATATAAATTAATATATATTTATATAAATTAGAGTATATATAATGTATTTATAAAGTATCATTTGTATAATATATGGATATCTAACTAGATTATTACGAAATTATAATATTTTATATTAATGTTTTAAAAAATAAATAAAAAATTCTCTTATTCAATTTGGGAGATTTAAATCATTTAACCTAACTGGAGGTAGTTTTTGTTAAGATATTAATTAATGACGTTGTACTATGTTATAAGAAATATGTAGGTAATGTTTCATCTTATGTGCTAAGACTAAGTAGGACTTGATTTAAAAAATTAGATAACTTGTAACTTAGTTTTATTACAAGCTTTGTAGTAAGTCTAATACATTTTATCTGAGTAAAAAAATTATTATTTATTTTATTTTTATTTCTTAAAAGTAAAATATGTTCGGAATAATTTTAATGATATTCAATTATTATCATTAAAATTTTGTAAATTTTTCATTTCTTAAAAGTAAAATATGTTCGGAATAATTTTGATGATATTCAATTATTATTATTAAAATTTTGTAAATTTTTCAAATCATGCTTGTCATGATTATTTTACTTCATTTAAAGATTTTTTTCATTTTACATATTATTTAGTTGTGTTTTATAGTATCATACAGAGGTTTCAAGTACACTTCTTTAATTTTACATGTCAAATGTATTTTTTATTTTCAATTGCTTCAATAATAGTCCATATATGTAAATACAACAAAACTTAAATAATTTTAATTTTCACGTATTTAGTGATTCAATATTACATTTATTCAGAGGTTTATATGGTGCTTGATTATCATTTTTATTTAAAGGTTTATATGATACTTTAATGTTATATTTATTTAGAGACTAATGTGACGTTGTTTTAATGATATGTCCGATATTATTTATTTTTTCATCTCGCAAAGGGTGATAATAAAAAATTACATCATTTAGATCATAATATATTTTATATAATCTCGTACTCTAAAGTTTATATTTCTTGTTGGTTTGCTTCAAGAAAATCATATTCATGGTCAAAATATGTTATGTCTTTATGAAAAATTACATTTTTTATATTTATAAAAAATTACATCCTTTATAAGAGAGAACATATTTATACATCAAAAACTTGTTGGATTGATGCTTATATAAATGAATATATGCAATGCAACACATCCACATACATCCATTTATAGTTTTTTTTTTATCATATGATTTGTGACTTCAAAATCTATGATTCATGTACCATAAATAGTAATAACAATCTTAATAGGATCATTGATAACTTATAATTTTTTTCTCCTCATTTGATAGGGATTTTTTTCTTTCAATTTTGATATTTTCACCTCATTCCTATCATCATAATATTTTTGAGAAAATACTATTTTTTTTTTAAATTGAACAACAAAAGAAATTGTTTCATTTTAGATGTTTCAAATTTCATTTTGTCTATTGAAAGATGTCAAAGGACTTAAGATTTTAAACATCATCATAGTATGGATATATTTTTTTAAACAATAAAACTAAGATATATATATTAATTCTCTTATATAAAATACACATTTTATAACCTATTTATAAAATAAACATGTGTGCAAATATGTACATCTAATTAAATTATTATGAAATTAAAATATTTTATAATTATACAAATCCGAATCAAATAAATAAATAATCTATACAATGACATTTTAAAAAAAATAAAAAATATACATAATTTTTAGTCAATCAAAGACAAGATCTATAAAAGAATTTATGATGTAACCTTTCTTATATTCTTGCTTACACATCATACTCAAGTAAGTTTGAATATAAAATTTCGGACTCCAAATAAGTTGGAGTATAAAAGTTAAGAAAACTATTTTATTCTAAACTTGATTTCATCGTCTAATTGTATTTATATTTCTTATAACATTTTATTGATTGAATATATGTTATTAGATTTGTATTTATAATAACCTAATTATTTAATTTTGATAAAAAATTATATATTTTTTAACATATTCAAGTTGAGCATATCATAGTTGAATATAATATAATTGAGTCTTATAAGGGTTGAGTCTAATGAGATTGAGTCTACTTGTGTCTAACGAAGTTATGTCTAATGTAATTAAGTCTAATTTGACATAGTTGAATCTAATAAAATTGAGTCTTATTAGGTTGGATCTAATAAAATTGTGTCTACCAAGTTATGTCTAATGTAATGGAGTCTAATAGGGTTAAATATATCATAATTGAGTTTGATTGAGTTAGGTATATTAGAGTCGAGTCAAATGAAGTTAAGTCTAATAAGATTGAATCTAACTAAATTCAGTTTAACATAGAGTAAGGTAAATCCTAACGAAGTACAACAGAGTCAGGTAAATTCCAATACTAATGAGGTTGAATCCAATGAAATCAAGTAAAAAACCCTAACACTAATGAGATTGAATCATTTTATTCAATTTTTTTGTTAAAAATTGAAAAATTACACATTGTCTTTTGGATGTTCTTTTCCATGAACCCTGATAGAACAAGTATAGAGAAATAAAAGAGACGATTAAGTTTCTTCTTATATAATCAGATTGAACCTCAGTTGAGTTTATAAGAAATAAATTTAATGTAATTGAGATTAATTGACTTAGTTCAACGGAGACGATGCATCTAACGAAATCGACTATAATAAAATTAAGTCTAATAGAGTCAGAAAAACCTAAAAAGCAGAATTAGGTAAACCTTAATGTTTGAATAGAGTCAGGTAAATCTTAATATTATTAAGGTAAATCTTAATAGTAAGATTGAATCTAACTAAATTGAGTTGAGTAAGGTATATCTTAATAAAGTATAACGAGTCAAGTAAATCCCAACACCGATGAGATTGAGTTTAATGGAATCAAATAAACCCTAACACTAATGAGGTTGAGTCATTTTATTCAATTTTTTTGTTAAAAATTGAAAAATTACATACTTTTTTTCCTATGTTTTTTTTGTATGAACCCTAATAGAATAAGTATACAGAAATAAAAGAGACGATTAAGTTTCTTATGATATAGTGAGATTGAACCTAATGAAGTCGAGTTTATAAGAAATGAATTTAATGTAATTGAGATTAATTGACTTCGTTCACCAGATATAATAAATCTAACGAAATCGAGTATAATGAAATTAAGTCTAATAGAGTCAGATAAACCTAAAAAATGGAGTTAGGTAAATCTTAATGTTCTACCAGAGTCAGATAAATCTTAATATTATTCGGGTCGAGTCCAATTACATCGGGTAAACCCGAAAAATTATCTATTTATTAATTTTTTTTGTTAGAAATTAAAAAATTACACACTTTCTCTCTCTTACTCTTTGTGTGAAACCCTAAGAGAGAGAGAGTACAGATAATAGAAGAGAAGATGGTGGCAGGGGATAAAAGGGGGAAGTCATTTGGTTTGGGGTGTGAGCCTGTGGTGGGATCATTAGCTGCGGCCAAGAAGAGGGAATACCGAATCACCAATCGCCTCCAAGAGGGAAATCGCCCTATATACGCCGTCGTTTTCAACTTTCTTGACTCTCAATACCTCAACGTTTTCGCCACTGTTGGTGGCAACAGGGTACACCCTCTATTTTTCTCCACCACCACTTTGTCATCTCATTCCGAAAATTTTGCAACCTTTAATGCTTTTTTTCTTTCTTCTTAATTCTTAGATTACTGTTTATCAATGCCTTGAAGGAGGGATTATTGCTGTTCTGCAGTCTTATGTGGATGAGGATGTAAGTGAATAGTGACACTTCGCTGTCTTCTTTCTCTAACTTTGTTTTTTGTTTAAGGTTTCTTTTGTGTGTAGATATTTGTTTCAATTTTTGTGTTTTTATGTTGACCAGAAGGATGAGTCCTTTTACACTGTGGGTTGGGCATGCAGTGAAGCTGGGAGTCCATTTATTGTGGCTGGAGGAAGCAAGGGTATAGTCCGAGTCATTGATGCTGGCCGTGAGAAGATATACAGGGTATTTTTGTTACAACGAATTAGTGATAAGCTCATGAATAAGCTCTCATGAGATAAGCTCTTCATTATTGTACCAGTGCTTAATTAAGCTGTTTAGGATGATGCCCCTTAAGTTCTTTTTGAATCAATGCTTAATGAAGTTATTTGCCCATTTGTGAACTTAGTGTTGATTGTTTGTCTAGAGGTTTGTGGACAATACTGCAAGCTAAATGCCTTTGAATATATATATTTCAATATTGTTGAAAATGTATCAATTGTGTTCTAATCCCTGCTGCTACATAACATGATACCCTCCTCTCTGCAGAGTTTTATTGGCCATGGGGAGTCTATAAATGAAGTTCGGACTCAAGCATTAAAGCCATCACTTGTGATATCTGCAAGCAAAGTAAATAGCTCCTCCACATTTTCCATTTTTGAAAGGAATCCTTTGTTTTTGATTAATGACATCTAATGTTGATCAGGATGAATCTCTCCGGTTGTGGAATGTTCAAACTGGAATATGTATCCTCATATTCGCGGGAGCTGGAGGACACCGCAATGAAATCTTAAGTGTTGTAAGTGTATTCTCCATCCAGTGTATCTCTCTCTTTTTCTTGCTGTATTGCCTATTCGTATCAATAAAAATAATATTTGGATTTGGAGATTAGCCCAGCTAATATTTTGTCACTTAATGTAGGACTTTCATCCATCGGATATATATCGAATAGCTAGTTGTGGGATGGATAATACTGTAAAAATATGGTCTATGAAGGGTAAGATAAGATATTTTGTTTTATGGTTGCTGCCTTGATACTATCTAACTATGATTTATTTTACTGTTTATGTATTTTTTCTAACTCTCCAATATTCCAATTAGAATGATATCCACCCAAAGAAAATGGCTGATACCAACTTACAATATAATAGCAAGAACATGAATGTAATGGTTGATACTAGGTTGGTAAGATGCCAGTCTGAAACAATAATAGCTGTTTCATCAGTTATATGAAAATCAAGGAATAAGAAAAGAGAAATCATTTTTCCACTAGGTGGAGTGGAGTTGATTGCATGGATTAAATGACACCGTTGTGTCAATGTTTTCAGTAAGGCTATTAATAAGGGTTTCTTCTTCATCTTCCATGACCTCTGTTTATACATCTATCCTATCTTACATATAATCAATTATTCTTAATGGATTTGATATACATTGTTTTCAGAATCTTTTATATTTGTTTCATGATAACATATGCTGCAATTAACAATTGTTTTTGTAATTTCTTGGAAAAAATTGTTGTGTGGAACATTATACTCATTTCTGTTTACACATATAGTCAATTAAAATTTACTTACTATTTTATTATCCTTTTCATTTTAATCCATCATGTCCCTTATGTTTCCACAGATTTCTGGACATATGTTGAAAAATCATTCACATGGACAGATCTTCCTTCAAAGTTCCCAACAAAATTTGTCCAATATCCTGTTAGTAACAATTTAGTTTTGGTACTTATCATTAATTTTTTTTTTTATAATTTATAATTCTAGAGATATCTAATTTCAGGTATACAATGCTTCAGTTCATGTAAATTATGTGGACTGTACTAGGTGGCTGGGTGACTTTATCCTCTCAAAGGTGAGTGATTGCTCAGTATCTGTTAGGAACCAAGAATTAAACAGAAAAATAAAAGAAAGTTTCTTTATTGAATAGAATGAAAAGAACAAGAAATAGGAGAAGACTCTCCTCCAAGGGTTTCCCCTTCACAAAGGATTTCTCCTTTTACAAAGAGCTAATGCTCAATTTACAAAGAATATCCACACCCTTCTCCTATCCTTCACACTCTATTTATATCTAAACAACACCTTATGCAATTAACTAACTTATTAATATGCTAACTATCTTCCTAACTTCTCCTTCCCTTTATACCCTAACAATACACCCTGTCTAAAAAATCAACCTTGTCCTCAAGGTTGTGTAGTAGAAACTTGATCCCATTGCTTATTCTTATTACCATGATCTTCATTTACCCTTTCTGTCTGCATGTGATATCTTTTTTTTTGGTATAGGAATGAGGACCAGGGGCTAATGCATTCAAATTCAGATCAGGTGGCTTGGGTGGTGGTGGTGGAAATGAGAGTGGATTTTTTATAACAGCTTTCAAACCCACCTTAGAAAAAAATTTGGCTCCATGTAGTTCATCAATTAATTCCTCAATTACTGGAATGGGGAATTTATCTGCAACCGTGGCCTTATTGAGAGCCCTATAGTCAATACAAAATCTCCAACTTCCATCCTTTTTTTTGACTAATATCACTGGGCTGGAGAATGGGCTGTTACTTGGGCCTAATGATACCCATCTTCAACATCTCTCGCCACCTGTCTTTCTATTTCAGCCTTTAAAAAATGTGGGTACCTATAAGGTCCGACATTGACAGTATTTTCACCTTCTTTAATGGGGATTCTATGGTCTACCGGTCGTTGGGGAGGAAGCCCAGAAACATCCTGAAATAACCCACTTGAATTCTTCTAAAATACCCTCCAACTCATTTGTCTACGTCCAGTGGTTAAAACTGTTTCTCCCTTTCTACTGCTGGCCCCACTGCTGCCATTTCCCGAGTATAGTTATGGCCTCTATATCTGTCTCCTTTATCAAAGCCTGCGGAGAAATCAATTTTTTGGTAAGGGTAGGGTCACCTCTTATCTCAACTTGTTGTCCTTCCCACTCAAAATTCATGGTTAACGATTTCCAATTAACTTTCACTTCTCCCAAAGTTGCCAACCATGCTATCCCCAATATCAAGTCTACTCCACCTAACTCAAAAAGGAAAAAGGTTTCCCGCACTTCATAATTACTTAGGCTCACTTTAATATCCTTGCGAGCACCTACTTGGTTAACTTCTTTTGCCCATCCCCAAGTTTCACACAATAAGGCCTCGTCTCTTCCACTTGCAGACCTAGTTCTGCCACTAAACTTGAAGCAACAAAATTGTGACTAGCCCCACTATCAATCAGGATCAGCACCTTTCTCCCTTTAATCCACCCTGACAGTTTCATGGTGTTTGTTGGTGTTAACCATCCAACTGAAAACAAAGAAAGCTCCATCCTTTTATGTTCCATCTCTACTTTTTCTTCCTCTTCTTCTTCCTCTCCAGGACCCTCTTCTTCTTCATCTTCTGCCATGATGATTACTCTTAAATTTTTTTCTGGACACCTATGACCTGGACTGTAAGGGCCCCCACAATGAAAACACCTTCCTTCCTCCCTTCTTCGTATATATTCGGGATATGGCAGATTCTTCACTCCTCTTGTTCTAACCTCCCCTATAGAAGTATTTCCTACCTTGGACCCCCATGAAATATCCCCTGTCCCCTTCCCGGCGATGCTCGTTATTCATCGGGCACTCCTTGGGAAGAACCAGATCCTTTAAAGGTCTCGGTTCTTGATATCTTGCTCGTTCCTCCTTGATAACGGAATCCAGAAGTTTTGTTCTGGTACACATTTCCTCCTCCTCCACTTGTTCCTTTCATGACATCTTCAACATCTCTTGCTACCTCCATAGCTCTTAACAAATCCTTTGGGTCGTGAGGCCTGATTTGTTTTCGAATTTTAGTTCTTAGTCCTGCCAAAAAATATCCAAGAAGTTGGTCTTCCTCCATAGCTGGGATCTGAGACACTAAAATTTCAAATTCCTGAGTATATTCTTCCACACTTCCTCCTTGTTTAATGGCTGCCAATCTCTCAAAGATTGTACTTCGTTCCTTTCCTCCAAACCTTCTATTCAAAGCCACAGTGAATTCTTCCCAAGAAAGATTCTTGGTTTTTTGTTTCCAAAATCTGAACCAATGATTCGCATTCCCTTCCATGCTGATAAAAGCCAGACGCAATTTCTCTCTTGGGTTGATCTTTTGAATCTCAAAAAATTTTTCCGCCCTTCCAATCCACCCCACAAAGTCAGTTCCTTCAAACACAGGTAGATCCACCCTCTTCACCCACTGTCTCTGCACTACTTCTTCTTCCTCAGAATCTTCTTGCTCCAATCGTCCTCCTATCCCCCTTGTACCGAATTTTCACTCTTCTCGGATTCTCTGTCACTTTTCTTGAAATTCTTGAGTAAATCTTTCATTTCTTGAATGGCATTTCTCATCTCTGTATTCACTTTTTCCTGTTCACTGGTCCATCGTTCAGCCCACCTTTCCAGCACTCCTACTCTTCCCTCCATGGCTCCTTGCTTTTGGATCCGGCAGGTCGGACCAATTGTTAGGAACCAAGAATTAAACAAAAAAATAAAAGAAAGTTTCTTTATTGAATAGAATGAAAAGAACAAGAAATAGGAGAAGACTCTCCTCCAAGGGTTTCCCCTTCACAAAGGATTTCTCCTTTTACAGAGAGCTAATGCTCAATTTACAAAGAATATCCACACCCTTCTCCTATCCTTCACACTCTATTTATATCTAAACAACACCTTATGCAATTAACTAACTTATTAATATGCTAACTATCTTCCTAACTTCTCCTTCCCTTTATACCCTAACAGTATCAGTCTACTCTTCCTGGTGGAAATGAAATGTTAGGTTTCTTGAGGAAATACTGTGGTCCATTGGTATCAGCTTCATGTATCTTTCTTAAAATCTGTAGCTTCTAATACTATATCATTGGAAAATTTTATGATAAAACTTTGGTGCTCAGTGCATGTGTTTATGATACAAGTTTTTAATGACGTTCTTTGTTAGACAAGCAGAGGTAGCTTTGTTGTAATGATGTTTCTATATTTTACCTTGATGCTCATTTTAAGTGGGAAATAATCTTCATTGAAGTTTCTTTCTCAAAAAAAGTTTAATAATTGGGAGATGAGAAGTTATTAAGGTTTTTGAGCATGTCCTCCATTTTGGGCACTTGCCAATGAATCATTATCGATTTTTCAGTTTGAGTTTTTCCCCTATTCATATAGTCACTTGCCAATTCCTGAAGTAATGGATTGTTTTACGTTTCCAGAGTGTTGATGATGAAATTATCTTGTGGGAACCTAAAGTGAAGAAAGAAATTACAGGGGAGGTTAGTTATAACTATTATTACCTTTTTTTTTTCTTTTTTTTCTTTTTTTTATAATATGTAAGTTTTAAACAGCTTCAGTTTTTTTTTATGCTGTGTGTGGATGTTTAGGGTGTAGTTGACGTCCTTCAGAAGTACCCTATTCCCGAGTGTGATATCTGGTTCATCAAGTTTTCTTGTGATTTCCATTTCAACATAGCTTCAGTAGGTAAGTCTGATTGCTATTTCTCTTAAAATGTATTTTTCTAGTATCTGCAGCTTCAGTCCTATAGTGACAGAAACTATGGAATTATTGCACAATTTGTTCAATACAGATGTCTGACACTAGTTCTTTTGCTGGCAAGTCTGTGATTTCAAGATTTTAGTTTTGTTTTATGTTCATTATTTATTTTCTGGGTCTTTCAGGTAACAGGGAAGGCAAGATTTTTGTTTGGGAACTGCAGTCAACTCCTCCTGTACTTGCTACAAAGTTTGTCTATCAACTGATATTTCAAGAACAAAACTTGGATACAGTTCTTTAGGTGGTTTGTGCTGTTTTCAATCAGAATTAAGATTTATCTCCACAATTTGCAAATAAAGATTTGCATTAAAAGATTATGCAAATTTCTGAGATGAATTCCAATTCTATTGTAAAACAGTGCAAACAACACTTCAAAAAAAAACTGTATCTAAATTTTATTGTTTTCAATGGTTTTCTATTATATGAAATTCTTATGTTTAGTCACCTTGTTCAGGTTGTCACATCCTCAATCAAAATCTCCAATCAGGCAGACTGCTACTTCCTTTGATGGAAGGTAATGCTTCATATATTGATGATGGTGCTCAAAATTTTGATGCAATATTCTTTAGTTTTTTAACTATAGTCCTCTCTTTTGTGTTATATTGTAGTACTATATTGAGTTGCTGTGAGGATGGGACAATATGGCGCTGGGATGATGTTTCAAACTCTTCAACCTAACTTGTCTTCATGCAATACCAATCTGATGTGCATGTCAAACATGAGAGCATTTATGGTTTATCAGTTTAACCAGTCATGTTCATCAGGAACTTGGTTTATTGCGTCGTGTTTGTTTGTTTATTTTGGTTCGGTAGGCTTATAATATAAAACGTTAAAGTAACTGGGTTAGAATTTAGTTGTTGTTTAATTACATAAAAGGCAAACATTGAGCCATGCATGTGTTACATTTCGCTGGTTTATACAATTTAGAGAACTGGACAATTAGAGCATCCGCAAAAATCAGTTTGAATGGTTTTTTTTACCTTCAATTTTAGTTATATTATTTAATCGAAAGAATTTTTAGAAATGAACAAGGTTTTTGTGTGTGAAACTCAAAGTTATCTATATTTTAGTGTGCGAGACAACTCTTTTAATTTAAAATATTAAGTGTTTGGTAGTATAGTTCTTAACAGAACAATAGCCTAAAGAGTACAGCCCAATAGTTCCCAACCCGTTCTAGTAAATATCTTTTTATGTAAATCTTCTCTGTTACAGTAAATTCTACAACAGAATAAGCTGTAATTTGTTTTTTGTTATGCAAAAACGTGAATATAATATTGTATGTTACGTTTTTCATTCTCAAATCATTATTAGTGTTTAGAATGTCTCCTCTTTTATCTTTATTCATGGTATTAGTTTTTCATTCTCAAATCGTTATTTGGGTTTGGTTTAACGTATTGTCAAACCCTTCAAGTACTTATTTCATTCTTCCTAGTCGTGGTCTTTCTTTAGCTGAACCTAATAGTTTCGTTAACTCCTCCAACGCCTTCTTCTGTAAAGGTTGTGGTGCGCCTGGTTTGTTGTCCACCAAACATGATTCTAAAATAAAGTGTATTTGTTTAGATAATGAACTTGAATATTTTCTAAAAAATTTATTTGCCACAAAGGTATTATTCATCATACAATGGGTGTGTCAGAAAGAAAATATTAATACATTTTTAATGTTACACGTACCTTTATGTCCTAATCTAAATAATTTGAATATTTATGGTCTTATGTAATAAAACATTCAATCTTCCTCTTATAAAAAAATTTATTCTTGATGTAGATGAGGTATTTTTCTTGGATTTCAAATTGGAATAAAAGAGTATATCATTTTTTATTTCCAATCCAAAAAAAATGTCTCAAAAAATGTCATTTTATGAATTAATATTTTATTTTATTTAAAATAAACATATTCTCAAGGAACTTAACAAGAAATACCAATTAATGCTCAAATGTGTCATGAGGAAAACTCAATAAATATTCAATTCATATTTGTCATGATAATCAACATTATCTTAATACTTTCACATCCAAATTCTTCATCACCATCGAAATATCCCTCAATACCTCAAGTCAATATTTACTATCACTATCGAAGTCTTACTCGATATACAATACAATACCTAATTCATATTTACCATCACAATCGGAACATCCCTCAATACCTCCACATTGGTATTTAATATTGTCATAGATGTTTCCCTCGATGCCCAATGTAGAATTATCATTACAATCAAAACACCTATGTATACCTCCACATTGATATTTACCATCACCATTAAAGTTTCCCTCAATACCCAACCTAGAATTACCATCACAATCGAAATACCCCTTGATACCCCCACATCAATATTTACCATTACCATCGAACATTTCCCCGATGTCTCCCCATCCATATTTACCATCACCATCAAAGCTTCCCTTAATGTCTTCACATTGACACTTAACATCATCATCGAAGCTTCCCTTGATATCTCCACATCCAAATTCAAACCTTCCCTGGACATCTTCACATTGACACTTATCATCACCATCAAACTTTCTCTCGATACCTCGAGATTTACTATCAACGTCAAAACCTTCCTCGATGTCTCCACATCGACACTTACCATCAATATCGATACTTCCCTCAATTTCTCCACATCGACACTTACCATCAATATCGATACTTCCCTCAATTTCTCCACATCGACACTTACCATCATCATCACTCCTACACCTACTCCCTTTGTCTCAAGACGCTATTCTTGACCCATCAAACCTAATGGTCGCCTTGTAGACTATATTTCTAGCATCGAAATGAAGCCAAATCAATCATCATCAACAACTTATATCCTCTCTAGTCTGTTTTGTATTATCATAATATCTCTGAGTCTAAGTGTCACTACATAATGAATCTATCCTCTGAGATTGAAACTTGAAGTTATCATGAAACGGTTTTGAGTCTCTCTTGGGTTGAAGCTATGAAAGATGAAATTGAGGTTTTAAAACTCAACAACAATTGGGAAATTGTTGATAGTCTAGTCGGTTTTAAACCCATATGATGCAAATGGGTCTACGAAATTAAGAGAAATCGGATGGAAGCGTGGAACGGTACAAAGTGTGATTAGTTGCAAAGGGTTTTTCTCAAGTAGAAGGAATTGATTTATTTCAGACATTCTCTCTTGTTGTAAAGATGGTTACTATTTGTGTCATCCTTGCTCTTGCTTCTACAAATAAATAACAGCTTTAACAACTCAACGTGAGTAATGCTTTTCTCTTTGGTGATTTGTCTAAAGAGGTTTATATGTCAATTTCTCAAGGATCATGAGGTCATAGCTCTTTCTGGAGTTGCAAACAACAAATAATCTCTAATGGCCTCAAACAAGCTAGCCATAAATGTAATGGAAAGCTTTTTAATCTACTTGTTTCCTCTGGTTACAAACAATCACAATCAGTTCATAGTTTATTCATTAATACAACGAAGATGAATTTACAACTTTATTAATCTATGTGAATAACATTGTTTTAACTGAGAACTTTGTTGATGAAATAGACCAAATAAAACATGTTCTTCATTCGAATTTTCAAATTAAGGATTTAGGAGCATCAACATATTTTTTGGGCCTAGAAATAACTCACTTTGTTGATGGTATATATGTATCACAACATAAATATTATCGAGTTGCTTGTTGATTATGGAATGTTGGCTGCAAACCTTGTTCCACGCCTATGTACAACTCATTGCGTCTGTAACAAAATGATTCTAGTGATCCTCTTGATCGTCTAGTTTATCTCACCATAACTTGTCTTGACATTGTCTTTGCAATCTAACAACTCAGTCAATTTATGACTCATTCTACAGATTGTCATCTAGGTGTTGCAAGGAGTCTTAAAATACCTGAAGGGTTCTCCAAGTAAAGGTCTTGAATTCAAGAGAGACAATCCTATACATTTAGTTGGATTCAGCGATGTAGATTAAGTGTCTTGTGTTCATATGCATAGATCGATAGGTTATTGTTTCTTCATCAAAAACCCTCTAGTATCATGGAAAACAAAATAGCAAAATAAGTGTCTCGTTCTCCTTCGAAAGCGGAGTATCGTGCTCTTGCCATAAGTATATGTGAACTGCAGTAACTCACATATCTTCTCAATGATTTAAAAATATGTTGTTCCAAACCTACAACATTATATTACGACAATCAAAGTGCAATGTACATTGCATCAAATCCAGTGTTTCATGAGAAAACAAAACACTTAGAAATTGACTGTCATCTTGTTCGAGAAAAAACTCAAACATGTCTAATGTAGTTAATGTCAATTCCAACCTCTCATCAACTTGCTAACATGTTCACAAAGGTGTTACCATCTCATCTTTTCAAATCTAATATATTCAAACTAGAGTTGATTGATCTTTATACACATTGATCTTGAGAGAGATTAATAGAACAATAGCCAAAATTAGTATTGTCCAATAGTTATCATCCCATTCTAGCTCTTCTAATATCTCTCTATTTAAATATTTTTTGTTACAATAGATTCTAGAATAATATGAACTATAACTTATTAAAAAAATGTATATATAATATTGTATGTTTCAATGAAATGAGTATATGTTTTTCATTATCAAATAATGACCTCAGTGTCTAGAGTATCTCTTTTCTTGTTTTTATTCATTTTAATTCTTAAACATTGTTTATGTTCTGTCAATATTACTATATTATTTTCTAACCTAGAAATATGGAGAGTGATTAATCATTTTTTATGAGATCGCATTTATTAGTTTAATTACAGAGTTTTGTTTTTTGGATTAAAAGTTTATCTTCTACAATGCAAAGCAGAGAAGTATGGATAGTTACATTTGTAGTGATATTAAATAATTCAACTTTACATGAAAGTAGTAACATGTTATAATGTTTTTTTTTTTAAGATGTTCTAATGTATTCTTAATCCCAAGATGTGAATAGGTGTATTTTCATGGGACGTGAAAAATCATATTCTGATCTTATTAAACCTTTTTTTTAATCATTTTGAAATTTATAAAATATTTTTAACCAATGCGTTTTATGCTAACGATAGTATTTCTGATAAGAAAGGGTATTGGTATTCCTTAAAACAAACACGCCTGGTGTAGGAAAATGTTCCTAATGCCTTGATTTGCTCTCCTTGCACGTGTTTAACTGAAAATGATAAGAGATATCAATTGAAATTTTAAACATTGTTATCTGTTTTGGTAATAAAGAATTGCTATTTATTTTACTTTGCAAGACAAATTTTTAATTTGAAATAATAGTAGTGTAGATTTGACTCTTCAAAAGTTAAGAGAAGTGGACTTAGAAAATAAAGTATATTTATAGCCATTACTTAAAAAAAATGATAGTTATTAATCTATTTAATTTTACATTTTATTAAATATTATTTGATTTAATCACAATTTTAACATTATAATTTTATTTTAACTTCTAAAATCATTTAATAAAATGTAAAAAAATATATTCTACTTGTATTAACAAAACATACATTTGGGAAGACTTCTGGTAGAGTTCCTAGTAGGAAAATATTTAGAAAATGTGGAACTCCCCCTCCTTTTCACTTTCCACATGTAAACTCCGGGAGATATAAACTATTGTTGGGTGAATGGAACAAAATTTGTTACATCAATGAAGAGCCACTGCGGCTGCCTAGCTTGTACAACACTTGACAGAGATTTGTATCCTATATACACAATACTGTAACCTATAATGTGAATTATAATATTTGGACTAAAAATTATAGTGCAAAAATGGGAGAGGGTCCTTAAAGTTGATTCCGTAATCGCATGAATAAGTGGTTCATAGTCTCTATCTTTTGACTGAGTTGGACAATGATAAGGTGTTGAGAGGAAGATTCTGAAGTACCAATATCACTCATTAAATCATTAAGTTTAGCCTGTGATTCCACAAGTGCTTCCTCAAGCAAAGTTAATGTTTGTTCCGATTTTCTGTGTGATTCCTCATTTATGAGATTTGGCAGTGGAGAATTTCCCCTACTACCAATACTACCGTCTCTGCTAGCCTTTTCTGAAGAGAAAATCTTATCAATGCCTTCACTTCCTGCAAACAAAAACACCATTATTAGAAAATTACCAAAGGATATAAACTAAGCTTTCCTTTGTTTAACAGAGGACCCGTTGCCAAATAAAATCACACTTTCCTGCCCAATTTTTGTCAAAGCAAATTTTTCTACTTTGAAATTCGCATGCAAACAGGCATTACAGCTCGCAAACACCTAGAAATTCGGAAAAATACTAGTAGTCTGTGCAAGCCCTATGGTTTGCTCAAACAGTTAATCACAATTAAGTCTCCAATTCATGACAAACTCTAGACAATTACAATTATGTGTATCATTTTATTGTGCATGTATGGATTGAAATTTGTTCAAGTGGCACAATCTTCAACCTTAGACTTTTGGTACAGCTCCGTTAAACATTAATTTTTTGAGGGTTAACAAAGAGTCAAAGACTATACTATATTATTACCATATCATATATGGTAGTCAGCTGAGGTTTAATCATTATACCAACCCCTTGAATTCGAGACACAGACACTTGTTTTAAAGCATTATCCATTTCCTATAAATTTTATGGCTTCTAGTTCTGCGCATTGCATCGCTTTGATCTATATGCCATACCAGTTAGTTACGAATATTATACCTCAAGTCTTAAAATTGATCATCTGCGCTACATGATAATGCACTTTGGTGAAATAAAAATCATATCGCTTCCCAACTTTAGGAAAGGCCGAAGGTTCCACTAATATTGCTTATATGAATGAGGTTTTATGTCTAATGAGAAATAATTCAATACATATTTGACAACTTACCTAGGTGCCCAAGTTGATCTATTACAGACTGACCAACAGAACCTTCTAGCTTCAGCAACCTTATAATTCCAGCTGTTATCCGGCCAATTGAGTCAATTTCAGATTTGCACAGAAAAGTGAGGTGCTGAACCTCATCCTTGGTTACTACTGCCTCAATCTGCATGAAGAAAGTATATCAAACACAAACTTCATATAAAAAAGAGACAAGGTGCCATAAATATGCAATTATCATTACCGGTTGTTTAACAGAGAATTTTAGGTTTTCCACTTCCCAATTAGCCATTTCATCATCGCCATTCTCCCCATCTAAAATCAAGCGAACTTCAACACCAATTCCTCCAACTGTGTCAGTGAATTCTTCACCCCCGTTTGCAATAAGCATTGATGAAGGAATGTCCTTTTGTAAATGAGGCTTCAAGATTTGCAGACCTTGAATTCCAACCTGCACTTGTCAGCTCAGTATGTAAGAGGTGTGACAGAAGTAGAACACGTCTTAAAAGACAAGAAAAGATACAAAAGTAAACCAACTAATAAGGATTCTGAGTTTTAGCACATTTACAAAGTATATAAATCAGAGCAAACCCATATTACATGGTATTTATCGTTTACTGGGTAAGTAGATACTAAATGTTTTCTGACCATTACGGGCAAAGTCTTTATTCATAATTATCACAACAAATATGACAAGAAAACCTTCTTGTCTTGTGTTTGATTATTTAAGCCAAGTAATAAAATATTTGATTCAGATTTTGACAATATGAAGGAATTAGAAAAGGTAGTTCAGAAAAACAACAAAAATAACATACATACAGAAATATGATACTTTAAGGCATGAAAAGTAATAAGATTTTAACAGGATATTTTACTAA